CACGCACGGTTGTGCTGCGACGAGGGCCATCGCCTCCACCCCGCACACCACGCGTCCCACCCATCACCACCACCACCACCACAACCACCTCCTCCTTCTATTCCCAACCTCCAAGTCGCTTGCCCCATCCTCCACCCCGCACACCACGCGTCCCACCCACCACCACCACCACCACCACCACCTCCTCCTCCTTCTATTCCCAACCTCCAAGTCGCTTGCCCCATCCTCCACCCCGCACACCACGCGTCCCACCCATCACCACCACCACCACCACCACCTCCTCCTCCTTCTATTCCCAACCTCCAAGTCGCTTGCCCCATCCTCCACCCCGCACACCACGCGTCCCACCCATCACCACCACCACCACCACCACCTCCTTCTATTCCCAACCTCCAAGTCGCTTGCCCCATCCTCCACCCCGCACACCACGCGTCCCACCCATCACCACCACCACCACCACCTCCTCCTTCTATTCCCAACCTCCAAGTCGCTTGCCCCATCCTCCACCCCGCACACCACGCGTCCCACCCATCACCACCACCACCACCACCACCACCTCCTTCTATTCCCAACCTCCAAGTCGCTTGCCCCATCCTCCACCCCGCACACCACGCGTCCCACCCATCACCACCACCACCACCACCTCCTCCTCCTTCTATTCCCAACCTCCAAGTTGCTTGCCCCATCCTCCACCCCGCACACCACGCGTCCCACCCACCACCACCACCACCACCACCTCCTCCTCCTTCTATTCCCAACCTCCAAGTTGCTTGCCCCATCCTCCACCCCGCACACCACGCGTCCCACCCACCACCACCACCACCACCACCTCCTCCTCCTCCTTCTATTCCCAACCTCCAAGTTGCTTGCCCCATCCTCCACCCCGCACACCACGCGTCACACCCATCACCACCACCACCACCACCACCACCTCCTCCTCCTTCTATTCCCAACCTCCAAGTTGCTTGCCCTATGCTGTCCAGGAAACGCTATCGCATTGTTCGCCCACGCGCCGCGGCGCCTTCTCAATTTATATTCCGCGACGCCTTTACACTCGCCTCGTGTGTGGCTCACTTTTGTTTATTAGAACAACAACAAATCCATCCCATTCCGACTTTTGTGAACTTTCACGGTGCGCACGCGTCGACAAAACCGCGTCTAATGGGGGAGGGGGGGGTGGGGGGGGGTTGGTCGGAGTGAGTTCAGTTAGCCGGGTCAATACATTAATTAGCCAACACATTTAAAGGACGTGCTTGCATGAGGCGGATAAAAGTTGGGCCATTAAGCGTCTTGCTATCGCAGTGCGGTTTTTAAAGTGGGCCAGCCAGTATACGTCACAGGCACGTCACAGGCACGTCACAGGCACGTCACAGACACGTCACAGGCAAGTCACAAACACGGTACAGGCACATCACAGGCACGTCACAGGCACGTCACAGGCACGTCACAGACACATCACAGGCACGTCACAGGCACTTCACAGGCACGTCACAGGCACGTCACAGACACGTCACAAGGACGTCACAGGCACGTCACAGACACGTCACAGACACGGCACAGGCACGTCACAGGCACGTCACAGACACGTCACAGGCACGTCACAAACACGGCACAGTTACGTCACAAGCACGTCACAGACACGTCACAGACACGGCACAGACACGTCACAGACACGTTACAGACACGTCACAGACACGTCACAGACACGGCACAGGCACGTCACAGTCACGTCACAGACATGTCACAGTCACGTCACAAGCACGTCACAGACACGTCACAGACACGGCACAGGCACGTCACAGGTACGTTACAGACACGTCACAGTCGCGTCACAGACATGTCACAGTCACGTCACAGACACGTCACAGACACGGCACAGTCACGTCACAGACACGGCACAGACACGTCTCAGACATGTCACAAACATGTCACCGTTACGTCACAGACACGTCACAGACACGTCTCAGACATGTCACAAACATGTCACGTCAACGTACACAGTTCAGCTCCCCTCGTTCCTCAGTACAACTCGCGTGTAAAGCAAACGAACAAAGACGCAAACTGCGTTGTTTTATTGCTGGATATTTCTACACGTGACGCAAACCGGTTTTAACCGTCTATTTTTTTTTGAACACACGTATTCGGTAAAGCAACAACAAAAAACCCACGCGATTGTAACGACCCCGTAGAATCGAGGGTCTAGACCAGAGTGGTTCTTCTTCTTAACCCGGGCGGCACGCACCCCCTGGGGATGCTAGATGCCCTTTCTGGGGGTGGGGGGGGGGGAGGTGCGAGACGCGTCCAGATTTTTTTTTAGAAGGTAAAACACAAATCAAGCACGGGCACGTGTGTACCAACTTATTTTGTTGCATCAAACCCCACGTATTTGTTAACATTATACAAAATATATTTTTACGATCGCGAAACCAAGAGTGATGCAGGTCTGCAGCAAAGGTTAAGAGCCACTTGCTCTAGCTCGTAGCGCACTGCGCTAACCACTTGCGCCACCGCTCTCCACCCGCCGTACTTGATCCCAGAGACTGCATCACCCCCCCCCCACACACACACCCCTCCCCCCCCCCCGCTCAGAGAGAACCGTCGCCCAGCCGACCCCGAGACAGCACCGCGTCCATCCCCAGAGGCAACGTGCACCCGGGGACTCAGCGTGCCACCACCCCTACGTCCGCTCAGCCCTAAACCACAACGGCCGCGCAGCCCCCAGCCCCGATCGATGTTTGGTGGGCGCGCGCACGCGCACGCGTGACCGCACGCGTGCGCGTGCGCGCGGTCACGCACGCGCACGGACGCACGTGGTCACGCGCGGTCACGCACGCACGTGGTCACGCGCGGTCACGCACGCACGCGGTCATCAACGACGGTTGCGGGGGGGGGGGAGACAAAGGCGGCCGGGCACGTGTAATAAATCGTGGCGGCTGTTTCACTACCACCACCACCACGACTAACACCACCTCATCCTCCCCCTCCTCGTGGTTTGTTCAATAGGCGCTCGCAAACCATCGTCCTCGCTCGCTCGCTGTGCACCCACCGCAGGTGCGGCGGCGCGCGTGAGTCGCCTGTGGATGAGACGCGGAGCCTCCGCACGCGTCTCATTGGTATGGCGCGTGCGTGCGTGTGTGTGTGCTGTGTGTGTGTTGTGTGTGTGTTGTGTGTGTGTGTGTTGTGTGTGTGCTGTGTGTGTGTGTGTTGTGTGTGTGCTGTGTGTGTGTTGTGTGTGTACTGTGTGTGTGTTGTGTGTGTGCTGTGTGTGTGTTGTGTGTGTGCTGTGTGTGTGTGTGCTGTGTGTGCGTGTGTTGTGTGTGCTGTGTGTGTGTGCTGTGTGTGTCTGTGTGTGTGTGTGTGTTGTGTGTGTGTGCTGTGTGTGTGTGTGCGTGCTGTGTGTGTGCGTGTGTGTGTGTACTGTGTGTGTGTGCTGTGTGTGCGTGCTGTGTGCGTGTGTGTGTGCTGTGTGTGCTGTGTGTGTGTGCTGTGTGTGTGTGCTGTGTGTGTGTGCTGTGTGTGCGTGTGTGCTGTGTGTGCGTGTGTGTGCTGTGTGTGTGCTGTGTGTGTGTGCTATGTGTGTGGTGTGTGTGTGCTGTGTGTGCTGTATGTGCTGTGCGTATGTGCTGTGTGTGCTATGTGTGTGTGCTGTGTGTGTGCTGTGTGTGTGTGCTGTGTGCGTGTGTGTGCTGTGTGTGTGCTGTGTGCGTGCGTGTGTGCTGTGTGTGTGTGCGTGTGTGTGTGCTGTGTGTGTGTGCGTGTGCTGTGTGTGTGTGCGTGCGTGTGTGTGCTGTGTGTGTGCTGTGTGTACGTGTGTACTGTATGTGTGCTGTGTGTGTGCTGTGTGTGTGTGCGCGTGTGTGTGTGCTGTGTGTGCGTGTGCGCTGTGTGTACTGTGTGTGCGTGTGTGCGTGTGTGCGTGTGTGTGTGCTGTGTGTGCGTGCGTGTATGCACGTGCGTGTGTGCTGTGTGTGCTGTGTGTGCGTGCTCTGTGTGCGTGCGTGTGTGCTGTATTTGCTGTGTGTGCTTGTGTGCTGTGTGTGTGCTGTGCGTGTGTGTGTGCGTGTGTACTGTGTGTGCGTGTGTGCTGTGTGTGTGCTGTGTATGCGTGCGTGTGTACTGTGTGTGCGTGTGTGCTGTGTGTGCTTGTGTGCTGTGTGTGCGTGTGGACTGTGTGTGCGTGTACTGTGCGTACTGTGTGCGTCCGTGTGTAGTGTCTGCGTACTGTGCGTGTTTGTGGGTACCTGCGTCTCTCTGTGCGTGCAGTAAACATCGCCACTAGGGAGACAAAGGCGGGCGGGCGTGGTGCTGGCCACCCACCCCCTCGTGTGCCGTGCCAGCCTTAATAGGTGCTCGCTAACATCACTTGCCCCAACAGTCTGTATGGCTATACGGGGGACCTTTGTATGTGCATGTATCCATGTGTATGTGTGGGTGTACACGCGGAGCGGTGGGGCAGTGGTTAGCGTCATGCGCTCGGAACCCGGCGACTCGAGTTCGATTCCAGGTCACAGCCCAAAAATCGGTGGCGATTATTCGAGCCGGTCTGGGCCTCCCCTAGGTCGACTCAACCTCAAATGAGTACCTCGTGCGGTGTCTAAACGTCAGCACTGGGGGAGACAAAGGCGGCCGGGCGGAGTTCCGGCCGCCCACCCCCTCGTGCGCCGTGGCCGGCTGGCATGGGTGCTCGCGAACAGCACTTGCCCCAACAGTCTGTGCAGGCTATTCGGGGTGGTGGTGGGGGATCTTTGTCTTTGTATATTTGTGCGCGTGTGATAGAGCGGGGGGCGGGGGGAGAGAAGTGGAGAGAAGTGGAGAGAGGTGAAGGGAGGAGAGAGAGGGGAGAGATAGGGGAACATGGAGGAGCAAATGAGAGAGATTGGGGAGTGGAGAGAGAGGGAGGGGGAGAGAGAGAGTGGCTGGTTGGATAGCTTGGTGGGGGTTGATAGGTAGGTGGGTGTGTGAGTGTGGTGTGTGTGTGTGAGAGAGGGGGGGTGGTGATAGGGGGGGGGGGGGAGAGAGGGCGCCTCCCCTACTACCGTACTCCTCCCAGCAGCTCTCGTCCGCTCTCCTCACACTCCGTGCTCTGTAGTCACGACAGAGAGGAGGACGAGGAGAGACACAGAGAGAGAGAGAGAGGCAGGGAGGAGGAGGAGTGCATCGAGGAAGGAGAGCGAGCGCGCGCGAGGGAGAGAGAGAGCGAGAAACATTATGCCTTCCTCGGAGGAGCGAGCAATCCGTGAGTAGAAAGAGACGCACGGCCCCAACACTCTCTCGCCTCGCCGTCCGCACGCGGAAGGACTCACACGGACGATGCACGATACGTACGCAGATACACACACACACAGACACGTCGGCACGCATAGTAAACATACGCGTACCTCCACGCGTGCGCAACGATCATCCCCCCCCGTACAGCCTTTCGCAGACTCGGGGCACCTATTAAGAATAGGCACACGTGTAAACACACACAGATGCACACGGATACACACGGATACACACGGATACACAGTACTTGCACACACCCATGCGCGCACGGACTCGCGCGCACATTCACACGCGCGCACACGTACGCGCGTTTAAACGCACGGTTCATACACACACAAACACACATTGACATACGCACACACGCACACATTGACATACGCACACACGCTGACATACGCACACACGCTGACATACGCACACACGCTGACATACGCACACACACTGACATACGCACACACATTGACATACGCACACACATTGACATACGCACACACGCACACACTGACATACGCACACACGCACACACTGACATACGCACACACGCACACACGCACATACATTGACATATGCACACACACACATTGACATGCGCACACACACGCACACATTGACATGCGCACACACACGCACACATTGACATACGCACACACACGCACACATTGACATACGCACACACGCACACACATTGACATACGCACACACATTGACATACACACACAAACACACATTGACATACGCACACACGCACACATTGACATACGCACACACGCGCACACATTGACATACGCACACACACACATGTTGACATACGCACACACACACATTGACATACGCACACACACACATTGACATGCACACGCGCGGACACTGACATAGGCACATCCATCCAAACAATGCACACACACACACAAAGGCAAAGGTGCCCCGTGTAGGCATACATACAGACTGCTGTCAGCGGCAAGTGCGATGAGTGAGCACTATATGTGCGTACGGTACAAACATTGCACGCGCCCCTCCCCCCTAGGTAGACTCGGCCCAAAATTACATCGGACAATATACGCGCGTGCAATCGCACACAGCGAGCAGTACATCAGCAAATACATGCAATATATTGTAAATCAAATGTTTAATTTGTCTATGTGATATTGAAATGCATCGTGTAGTACGTTTAGTACCGTGTATGCACACACACCACGCGTCATATACATCGGACAAAGATATCCCGTATCGCCTTCGCAAACTGTTGGGGCAAGTGCGGTCAGCGAGCACATACGACGTGCTTGTGTGCGTGGTCCAGCAAACCACTCCCGGCCGCCTTTGTCTTTCCGGTGGTTGATGTTTACCCCCCCCCCCCCCACTACTGAGATTGTACTCGGGAACAGCTCAAGAGCGGTGCGCTAACTACGCCACCGCTCCACACCCACACCACACACACACCACACACACACCACACACACATACAACACACACACACACCACACACACACACCACACACAACACACACACTCACGCTCAGTAAATTGCACGTCTATATATAGCCACTGACTGCTGTTTGCACGCATTATATATTTATACAGGATGTCTTGCACACACACACGGACTATATATAATCTGTACACACTTACACTATATCACAATTATTACTCTATGTAATTATTTAATAATAATAATAATGTACAACGATACGTCAATCCACTGCTGGATGAACGCGTACTATCCCCGCCACGCACCTTTGGATCATGAGGGTTTGCGGGATGGGGTGGGGGGGGGTAAGGGGGTGTTTGACCATACTTCACCACGCTGGTCATTGCTGCTAGCCAGCTGGCTAAACTACACATCACTCGCCACTGATGTCAGCCGTGGCAGGGAGAGCCAACTCCGAAAAAAAAATCGCGTTTTCAGAACGCAGTACGCTGCTAACCACTGCGCCACCGCTCCACCTAATACATACACGAGCATCACGCCGAACCAGAATATGCGTAGAATATACAGCGTTGTGTGTACACACACACCGTGCATGCCACACGTGTATACGTACACTATGCTGCTATATAGCATACACATTACATTATAGAATACTACGCATATATGCTCGCTGTATGCATCGCGTGTACTATACCGTACACACACACACACACGCGCACTCATTTATAACCACAGTGGCATCCCGTACAGATGAGCAGTGCGCGGCTATGGACGGACGTATGTATGAATGGTGTGTGTGTGTGTGTGCGCACGTGTGCTCAGCGGATGTGTGCGTGTGTGTAAACATTGGGGAGACAAAGACGGCCGTGGGTGGTTCTGATTGTCAACACCCCCCCCCCCTCCATCCCTCGGTCGGCCTTCATCGACGCTTGCTAACAGCACTTGCTCCAATGGTCTGTCAAAGGCTATCTGGGGAACCTTTGTCTTTGTGCGACTGTGTGTGTGCGCATATGCACAATGCACGCGCGTCTATCTGTATATCTGCATGCCCGCGTGTATGTGCATTAATTGTAATATGTGTACTGTACCGGTAACCGCATTGGAACAACAACAACACAAAAAACCGGTTACGAACCGGGTTTTTGCGGCACGCACGCGAACGCGAAGAGCGATCGACATCTACCCGTGGATCAGCTCCGGAACTGCTGGGAAACGAAGGGACCTGCTGCCGCTGCTGCAGCCCCTGCTGCTACTGCCGCTGCTGCCGCTGCTGCTGCAGCCCCTGCTGCTGCTGCAGCCTCTGCTGCTGCTGCAGCCCCTGCTGCAGCCCCTGCTGCTGCTGCTACTGCCGCTGCCGCTGCTGCAGCCCCTGCTGCTGCTGCTACCGCTGCTGCTACTGCAGCCCCTGCTGCTGCTGCCGCTGCTGCTGCCCCTGCTGCTGCAGCCCCTGCTGCCGCTCCTGCTGCTGCTGCCGCTGCTGCTGCTGCAGCCGCTGCTGCTGCTGCAGCCCCTGCTGCTGCTGCAGTGTTGTTGACGGCATCGCATCGCAGCGCACTGGCAGCCTCGAGGTTTGCCGGTTTGACGCCATCTCCCGGCGTGGCAACTGAACTTGCTTAACCCCCCCACCCCCCACCTCTCTGTCAACCCAGTAGGGTTGACGGCAGTGAATTTGACCCTCCGGTCGCGTGTGGTACCCAGAGCTTCTGCAAGACGTCCGCATGGTCGGCGTGGAAGAGTAGGCCGAGTCACCAAATGACGACCCTCGAGGAGAGAGGCCTCGAGCGGAGGGCCATCCGCCGGCAGTGGCGTGAGCCGGGAATTGCGGGGGCTGCGCCTTTGCCTTTTAAATGAGAAACGTGTTGTGTGTGTGTGTGTGTCTTTGTGTGTGTGGGGAGCGGTGGCGCAGCGGTTAGCGCGCTGCGCTACGAACCCGGCGAGCCGAGTTCGGTCCCTACGCTCGGCCACCAACATCGGTGACGATTATCTGAACCAGTCACGGGCCTCCCCTATACCGACTCGGCCTCAAATGAGTATCGGGGAGACAAAGGCCGCCGGGCGTGGTGCTGGCCACCCACCCCCTCGTACGCCGTGACGGCCTTCGTAGGTGCTCGCTAACGGCACTTGCCCCAACAGTCTGCTCAAGGCTATCCGGGGGATCTTTGTATTTGGGCATGTGATCAATTGAGCGTGATCGTGTGCACGTGTGTGCCGAATGAATTCAAATCGCATCAATGTCACGCATTCATCCGTTCCAATTACAATTAACTTTGTGAGACCATATACACGCCAATCACTTGCAAATATACCACCCGGCGTGTGCAGCAAGAGTACACCCCATCCCCATAGATAGCCTCAACAGACTGTTGGGGCAAGTGCTGTTAGCGAGCACCTCTGTGAAGGCCGACACGGCAACACGACAGCACCACGCCCGGCCACCTTTGCCACCACCCTGGTTTACAAGCCTACCCCCCCCCCCCCCCATTTTGTCAATCCACTGCTGGATGAAGGCCTCCGCAGTAGACATGCAAATATCGTGCCAACGTTGAGATTAACGATGGCCCAACGTAAAGCGTAAAACCCAACATCGGCCCGACGTTTCCAGGGGCCTCCACCCCCCCCCCCCCCCCCACTGCGTCTTGCGGGTCGTGGGAGTTATTCGGAGCGTACTTGACCGCCGCTTTATAGCTCATCGGATTCCTCCAGGATAAATAACAGATGTTCTCATTCTGGGTGGGCGTTGGAGTACAGCACGATTAAACGTGGTTATGTCGGCGCTGATCGCAGCATCTGTTTTATGCGCGATGGAGGGGTGGGTGGGTGGGTGTGGGTCGCCCATCCAAGGCTAAGAGCCTTTTAGCTTCTGAGATGTCACGATATCGGGCTCGAGTCTTGGATGAGTTGTACGTATATTGAACTTCTTTCGCACCGTACGTAGCCAACCGTGCTTATCGGTCGTGCGAGGGGGGGGGGGGGGTAACAACAAACTGAACACAAAAGCGGCTCTAAAGAAATGAGTTTTTAATTTAGATTCTAAAGCGCATCATAGCTCCCGGTGGTATTCCTAATGTCGGAAGGAAGAAGAACGTTCCAGACGGCCGCTGCGGTGACTGTCTTTGTTCGCTGGCTGCAAGGATGAGCGGAGATCGCGTGCACGGTTTATGCTCCTCGACGAGTTCAGCGAGCTATTGCGGTTCATTTGTGGCGAGCACTTTGTGTGTGTGTGTGCAACGAGTGCGACCTCGTAACGCGTACGCTATTTCGCTCGGCAACATCGTAAGCCAATGCGGCTCGGCGAGCACCGGACGGACATGGTCGGATATTTGGCCACGGTGGATATTTTGGCCACGGTGGATATTTGGCCACGGTGGATATTTTGGCCACGGTGGATGCTGTGGCCACGGTGGACATTTGGTCACGGTGGATTCTTTGGCCACGGTGGATGCTTTGGCCACGGTGGATATTTGGCCACGGTGGATGCTTTGGCCACGGTGGATATTTGGCCACGGTGGATGCTTTGGCCACGGTGGACATTTGGCCACGGTGGA